ATTATGTCAATAATTAAGAAACACATACCAACATCACCAATACCGCCACCGATTGTACCAAGTCGTAATGATTTCCGATATATCAAAACCATTAATGCAGCACGAACCTAGATTGTATTCTGATGAAGCATGTGGAATAATTGAATAATGAATGTATTTGTCAAAAAAATTACCTGAACACCTATTCGCGTTGATTCGGAAGTCACTTGATTATTAAATATACTAAACGCTAAAGCGCACAAGAAAAAGCCCACAGCATATAAATGCTCAGAAACATTTGCTTGCTCTGATATATTTTGCATTTCAATGAGTAAAATGAGTTGATTTATAATATAATAATAGCCCACAAACATGAATCCGGCAGCGAAGAGTTTATAAAGTCCAAGAAGAGCATAAGTAGTTCCAAACGATTTGATAAGAGCCCGACAAATTGAAGGTTTACTTGAGCATATATAAAATGGTTAAGGATATTTTAGCATATTACACAACTTTTTAACCATTTTAAAAGTTCATCGAGCAGGATCAATCTCCAAAGTTAAAATAAAGTAAATTGGATGGATGGCTTGTCCAAAAACAAGACATGAACATGAACAATATTTTTATAAATTGATACCAATTATCGAAATTGTAAGTCATAAATTAAATACCTAGTTTTTTTATTATCAAGCTCAACTCCCCAAAAACCTTCCAACCTGTCACCTACAAACTGCGCCCTTTCGGACTCTTGTAAAGTCAGGTTTTCGTCTGCTAAATTATGTTTTGTGGATATTTTTAACAAACGAAATATCCAAAGAAAAAACCATGACGAAAGGAAGTTTGGTCTGTTGCCGCCATAAATTGTCACATTAGGACGAATATTAGACAAGGCAACATTGATAGGTTGCATTGATAAGTTGGTTGTTGATGTACTGGAATTTTAGTTTTCTATATAATAGTCAATTTTTTACTGAAGCGAAATGGATGAAACAGAGTATTGATAATTTAGGGAATACAAGTATCCCCTGAATGCACGTTGAGTATTTGTACCTCAACATGGATTTAACGTTAATTGAATACGTATGTGCTTTCCCGATTTAGAATCGCATTGTTTTTGTCTTCGAAAAGCTCCTATCATTCCGGAAATCATCCTGATGCTTGCATAAATATTCTTACGTAAACTTATTAACTTGATTTTCTCCAATACAATAAAATTAACGAAAAAGGCGCTTTCCTATTTTAATCAAAAAGTGAAAGACACTTTTCATATAGATTTATTAAAATAATGAACCTGCGCGATATAAACAAATAAACAAATATTTGAAGCATGTCTATACTTACATACGTACGGACGGACGGACGTACTTACGGACGTACGGACGTACGGACGTACGAACATATATTGGTATACTAATAATTCACTTAATTGTATATGATGTGAAAATCAAGTTTCTAGGTTTGTACTTTGGCTAATTTGTCGTACGATCAAATGAACAAATAAAAGTCACAAGATTAACTATCCTTAATATCGCATATTAATTATCCTTAAATATCGCATAAATTAAATTTACACGAAAAAACAAAAGTCTTTAGAAGTTGCCACCAATGATATCATTCATTAGCTTTATATTATCTAGTTAGGTTATATTTGATCAAAATTAATTTGATTTAATTTATTGATAAATACGTATAAAGATTTAATGTTAAAAAATCAGTGTTATCGTTATCGTTATCGTTATCGTTATAAGCTATAAAATAAAACTATGTACATATCGATAAGTTTTTAATATACGTATATACTGTTAAACCGATATGTATTGGTAGATTAATTGTTTACCAGATTTAACGTTAATTGAATACGTATGTGCTTTCCCGATTTAGAATCGCATTGTTTTTGTCTTCGAAAAGCTCCTATCATTCCGGAAATCATTACGACTTGGTACAATCGGTGGCGGTATTGGTGATGTTGGTATGTGTTTCTTAATTATTGACATAAT